TTTCAAAACTTTGCATTTAATCTTTATTTTGTTAATGCATGTATCTACTATCAACATATTGTATTTCATATTAATTCAATTTTCATATATTATTGCATTATGTTTAGTATATTTTCTAACAAATATTGTAATTGTTAGTATATACTTTCTATGTGTTTTAAATACAACTTTTTATATTTTCTATTATTATATTTGTTATTTATACAATTTTCTTATATTATTGCACTATATTCAGTATATTTTCTAACAAATATTATAATTGTTATTATGTGTTTCTTATAATAAATCCAAGAAAGAAAAATATTTAAAAATAATGTCAAAGGAATAACGATTGCGCATCAACTAGGAGTAGGTCATAGAGCAGCAATGAAAAAAAAAACATCGAGCAATCTACCAAACGATGTAAACAACACTCGGCGAAACCCCTGGAAAAACAAGCGAGATACGGAAATCCCATTGACAATAATCGGTGTTACGCAAATTTCAACACGTGTATGGTTCAAGAAACATAAGTCTAATGAGGAAATAACGATTACGCATCACTGCAGACAAATTCAAGACAAATGTTATAATACACTGTAAAAAGGGAGTTAAATTTTAACTACCCAGGGGATTCTATAAAATTCGCACTCATTGGGGAGTTAATACCAAGGGAGTTGGATAAAGAGAGTTAAAACTTTACACCCCTATGCTAACTACCCAAGGAATAAATAACTTGCGCGGGTGTTGATGAAAGGAGTTAGTAAATTAACTTTCTTTTCGAGTTGATTTCTAACTCGAAAAATTTCACTTCCAACACCCGAGTCCGTTAACTTTATAAATTTTTTACAGTGTATAGTATAGGCTACAAGCTATTTTGAGAATTAAATTTTTAAATGGCTGACACAAAATGGCGACTAAACTTACTTTTTTTAACCAATGTTATAAACAACTGGAAGAAATTTAAAAAAATAGTTTATTTTCCTTAAAACTTGTTACTTAGGTGTTTTTGGGTCGCTAATAACGAATATGACCTTATTTTTTGAAAACTCAAAATGACAGATCAAAATGGTGGATCCAATATGGCTCATAATTGCTGACGTATTAGAAACGTCCTTATTTAACAAGAATCTTAAGAGCAGTATGTCCTCTTTTACAACGTTTCTAATTTTTGATTTTACACTTTATGAGTTTCACATTTTGTCAAATGCTGTTAGAAAAGGACGTAAAAAGGTATCAGCAAAAGATTATGTCTTACATATTGTCAGACATACTTTGACAAAATGTGAAAGTCATGATTTTAAAATCAATCATATTCCATTGAAACTGGTCATTTAGAGGTTTTTGGGGTCACTGATTACAAATATGACCTTAGTTTTCCAAAATTAAAAATGGCGGACTTATTTTTAAAAATCAATCAAATTCTCTTGAAACTTATTACTCGTGGGTTTCAGGTTGTTTCTAGGGGGTTTTTTGGTTTTTAAAAATGCAAATGGCTGATCCAATATGGTGGACGGTTTTTTAAAACAATCGGCTACACTTGGAAATTGTTTCTAGTAGGTTTTTATGGTCGCTGATTACGAATATGTTGTCAGTTTTTTAAGATACGAATTTAAAATAGCATTTCGTACCTATTTTAAAAAACTGATTACGTATTCGTAATTAGAGACCAAAGAAAACCGTAGAAACAGATTTGAAGTGTATCCAATTGATTTTTTAAAAAAAAACCTCCTTTATACATTCTTCATAGGGTTATCCTTCTATTTGTAAAGTTTGAAGAATTTTCCCGTACGGAAAAAAGATAATTAATGCCAAAGTTGTGTGGGACTCTTTATTGGGACTATATTAGCAAAAGTTGATTATACATTTTATTCAAAAACTACTACTAAAAACCTAACAAAATTGTAAATAATTATTTTCAAGAAAATGGTAATTTGACCGTTCTGTTTTTTTGCAATTGAGACTCCGGATCTTAAAAGGATACTTTTATCATTTAAAATCAATGCTGCAAGTGCCTTTTTAAGATCCCGAGCCTCAATTAAATGTTGAAAGTCATAATTTCATTATATTTTCGTCTGCTTCCTTCAATACAGAGTTAGTGTTCAATATATACTTATAAGAGGGCATTTGTATTAGTAAGGACAGGTAATACTCAAAAGTTTTTTGTTTTGACGTAACAAAGTCTTGGGATTGGCTTGATTCTTTGGGATATAACTTTTATAAAACTTTATCGATTTTAATTTTTGTTTCATGAATTTAAAGAATTTTTTTTATTTTTATTGGAAAGCTAACATTTTTTTTAAAAACTATGTAAATCTTATAGTGGAATGGCCATAAGTGTAGAAGAAAATTAAAAACAAACTTAGTGGTACACCCGCGTTACTGTACGTAACGCTGGCGCTGCGCCGTTGAACGACACAAATATCACTGTTTTATCTTCATCTGCTTCAGTAAAAGGTCTCTGCATTTTACAGGGTTGAAACTATTAGTGATGCACGTCGAACCGATAAATGCTCGACATCGTTCGAATGTTCTCGTTTGAAACGAACTTCAAGGAAACGATATTTTTGATTTTTCTTTGTTTCTGTTCGACTCGTTTCGTTCGACAAAAATCGAATTATGATGACAGTAAATTATATTAGAAATGAATGTTGGCATGACAAAAGGGGGAAAATAATAATTTCATGATTTCACAGGAAACGAAAATACATTTAAAAATTCCCCTGATCATTTCAGAAGAAGTCTACTTAAACGGTTTCGAAATATTATTGCGCTTTGCCAGTGGAAATACAGTTTATGAAGATAAATCTACATATTAGTGAGAAAAATAAGTAAAAGTGGACCATTTTGGGATTACGTCAAATGCGCATATTTTCTTATAAAATTAATTGTTAAATAAATACACAGTTTAAGAAAAACTGAGAAATTTGTTTTTAATACTGAATTGTCGATTTTATTGCAAAAAAAAGTCTGCATTAAAAAAGTTGTTTGTTTTCAAGAAAATTGTTAAATAAATGTGTACTTTTGAAAGTAAACAGTACCAAAATTTTTAAATACAAACTACTAACAGGAATATTTAAAAATTAACAGATGTATCACCATATAGCCATTTTGCGATAAAGATTTGAACTAATTTATATTCTTTTCATTTCTTAATAAGAATCTGGAAAAAAATTCTTGATTTTTAAACTTATTATTATTACTGAAAAATAATAATAATGATAATAATAATAATAATAATAATAATAATAATAATAATAATAGAGTAATAGAGTAATAGATATGAAATAAATGTTTTAAGGTGCCAAAACGTTGTGGTATAAATCAGTCCCCATTACCATTTCATATAAAAAATTTATATTTTTACTAAAATATAGTTATAAATATAATGAATATTACATTTTTCTATTGTCTAAATTAGTAGAATTAAGAAAAACAAAATACTTGTAAAAAAAATTTATTTCTAATATTTAAAAAAAAATTGTTTTTTATATGTAGGGAAGAGCGGGTTTGAAAGTGCAGTTAATTATGTCTCAAAAACAAAAAAAGATTTTTAAAAAATTTCAATGAGGGAAGTATTGCACAGGCGCCAAACAATACTTTCCTCATTTGAATTTTTTAAAAATATTTTTTTGTTTCTGAGATATAATTAACGGCACTTTCAACCCCGCTCTCCCCTATATTAAAAGCAGGTAGGTTGCACAGGGAATAACAGAATCGTCATAGTGAAATCATCATATTATAATTTTAATAAAATGAATAATTATTTATATTTTACATCAAAAAAAGTTTAGTAGTATAAGGTTAGTGAAAACAAATGACGTAAAAAAATAAAAATCGCTAATAATTTGTTTAAAGAATTAATTTTTTTGTGCGTCTAAGAGCTGTGAAATTAGAAAAAGTTTGTTTCTATATCTATTGCATCAATATAAAATAAGTAGAAAATAAATATATGTATAAATCCAGCTGATAGTGTAGGATTTTTTTAGTTACTTTTTTTGGTAGATGATATATTAAATTATAAGTTATATTTTGCACGTGCATAACCTCAAATCATATATTCTTGACATAGTTAAAAATATCCGTATCACTGTAAAGAGAGGGTCTACGTTTAGGACATTTACGTTGTCAATTTTAAGACGTTTATTAGCGTCTAATTAGCCTACTAAAATGCGTACATTTAAGAGATTATGTTTCTAATCTATGACGCTCAAATAAGACACATTTACAAGAGAGACTATATTAACCGCACGGATGATGAAGAAGTTTTTACCCTTTCTCTTGTAATTACAAGGAGAAAAGGGAAAAATTTTCCCTTCCACATGTTGAAGGTCCAATCGCTGACATGGGACTTCTTCATCGTCAGTGCGGTTGATATACTCAAACAGTTTATTTTTCGCGACGCGTCAAAAATGCTATTTTACAGGTCATTTTAATTTGTTATTTTACTAATTGCTTTTTATTGCTCATAGTAAAAAATGATTTCATTGGAAACTTTGACACTCTAATTTTTCATTTTCGTGAAGAAAGTGTAAAAAAGTTAATTTTTGTGAGAGAAATGGCTGTTACAAAAGTGCGATTTTAGTACTTGGTTTGTTTACATTTCACAACTTGGACATAGCCTTAAGTCGATTTTAGTTTTTAATTTATGAAAATGTTTTTAACTGTCCGAATTTTTTTGACTTTTAACAGCCGTAATAGATTCTCCACTTAATTATTTACACCGCCCACTGGTACATTAAAGTACATGAATGTTGGAATCTTTTAAGCCATTCATCACTTAAATCGATCTAGATAATTTTTGTTTCTAGCTCTTTATTAACATTATTATATATTATTATTTATATCATACTGTTATGTTAATATTACTATTACGTATCATTTCGCCAATTTTTATTTTAAAATTAAGGTGATGTTACATGTAATATTACCATGCAGTGAACATTTTAATATTATAGTAAGATCATGCCTTATAAAATGTTATTATGATATCTATTTATAAATATGAAGTTGTTTTACAGTAAATGCTTCTCCGATTCAAAACTATCTGGAAAGAGAAAGACACCAATGGGAAAGAGAATTTTCTTATGTTGTTTCAATACGAAAAAATGGAATATATAATTGTGGTGGAGCTATCATAGATGAATTGACCATTTTAACTGCTGCTCACTGTGTTGATAGAAGTATTAAGTCAAATGTAATTCGACAATTAACTGTAGTAACTGGATCGGATCAGATGTATCAGGGTGGAACGATACACAAAGTTTGCAGAGGTACTTTCTATCCTGGATATGAACGCAATAAAGTTGGTTCCAAGCCAGATGATATTGCTGTATTGACGGTAACTATATCGCAATTAATATATTTAACAAAAATTCCAATTCTTTAAGATACTGAATAACATTTTTTTAAATATATCTAAAAAAATCGCTTTTTATTGTCAACTCTAACTATCATTTTAGTTATGCGAGCCTATGATTTTTAATGAATACCAAAATAAAATAAATTTACCAAGTTCAGATTTCATTGACAATACTACAGCCGTAGTTGCAGGATGGGGATATGAAAATTACGAAGAGAAGGAATTGAGTTGCTACATACAAAAATTCAATCCAAAAATCATACATAGCAATCATTGTATGCCTTATGGTTATTATAAACTGAAAAAGGGACAATTATGTGCTATTCATAAAGCTACACAGGGTCCATGTAGGGTAAGTTATCAAAAAATAAATTTTTTGTATCCTAAAAAATATTAAATCCTATCTATCATACATACACTTGCATATACACGAAACACACGCGCATAAAAAAACATATTCACATATACAGCAAAGCCATACACATCTACACATAAGCAGATTTACTCATTCACGAACACTTATACATATTCATATTCCTACAAAAACAGCTCACATTTATTGTCTCCACTCCAAAAGCCACCACGTAGTCGTAGTCTATCCTTACTCCCACTCGCCCGTCTCACTTCTCAACAGATCACCGAAATCTGTGACGCTTCACTCGACATCGAAAATGACCCATTTACGAGTTAATTCACACTCTCATCAGATTGAAGCTAGAACCAAACAGGTCGACCTCACCTTCACACTAGAACACAACAACAATAAACCTACCACCTCACGACACGTCAGTACACAGACGTCAGATCTTCAACAAAACTCATGAGAAGACCTACGACGTGAACCCTCACCATCGCTCTACCTAGATATTTCGGACGACGAACACGAGGAAATATTGTCTTTTAAAAACACCCCAGTTACCACAAAGCCCAACACTACACCTCAAGCAAACCCTGACTTTTCCTCAGACCTATACCCCAGCGCATCCTCCCCTCTCCTAACCGAACCTTACTCTTGTGATCTTCACTCTATCCTCAGAAAAACTGTCATTGGTTCTAATCGTTTCAAAAGGACACCTCGAAAGTCATCGTCACCCGCCTCGATCACGCGAGGTACCCGAATAGGTTCTCAAGTGGTTACGGCTCAACTGTCGTAAAGGGTGTTGGAACTGTAACAGCAAGGAACATCGCAAAAAAGAATGACCCGAACCAAGCTCTCGTTTTTCCAGAGTCTAAGCTTTAAATTTTATTAATATTTTAAATTCTGACTGCTGAGGGATTAACCTAGTGGTTTTGTTTCCTCAGAATAAGGTTCTTTAAATTTTGTTTAATTTTAAATTTCTTTAATTAGAAAATGTCCCAAGAAAGGACTGGTGCTCAACAAACTTTCTGAGTTGAGAAATATTTATAGTATTCTCATCTCTTTCCTTTCAATTCTATTATGTACAAAACTTTGGCTTAAATTCGATATTTATCTTTTATTTTGTGAAATATATAATATCTGGTATTTATAAAATTTAATTTCTGTTATTGTTTATTTTATTTGTTTGCTCAAAATAAATTTTTTTGGGTATCGTTTATAATAATTTGTTGCCTTGATCATAAAATTGGCGTTTGACCCTTTTTGTTATGCCACCCTTCATATATGATATAATACCCTCTGGACACTGGAACCAGGGATGTCTTTAGAACATCCTTATATTATTGTTATCCTACTAGGGGGGCTTTGGCCCCCTGCGCGCTTCGCGCGCCAACCCCCTATCTCTATTTTTATATTTATTTTAATTTTTATAAATTTAAAGTAATTTTTTCTTAATATCAATGCATCTTAATAAATTGCATACAATACATGACAAAATACACATAGATTTTGACGTAATGTAACAATCGTTATAGACCTTTTTTATCTATATGTCAAGAATTAGATTAAACTTTGACATATATTTTGACCCATTTTAACCTATAGGTTAAAAAGGCGTCAAATTTTACATAGATTTTGACGTATCATAGATACGTTTATTGTCCTTTATTGTCCCTTTTTAAGTTGTAGTTAAATAAAAGTCAAATTACACATAGATTATGACGTAACTAAATGAGGGAGTAAAAATAAAACGTCAAAATTAGGTCAAAATGATAGGTGTAAGAGCAAACACAATTTTTAAATAACCTTGCATTGTTAGGTCAGATGCCAAACTTCACCTCATCATTAAGTCTGCGCGCGGAAATTGTTTGACAAATTTTGACGTCTATGTCAAAGCTGCCCTCAAACTTGACCTAAATTTTGAGGGTAGCGGGAATTCTTTGTCAAATTTTGATGTGTAGGTCAAAACTGCCCTTAAAATTGACCTAAATTTTGAGGGTAACGGAAATTGTTTGTCAAACTTTCACGTCTAGGTCAAAAGTGCCCTCAAAATTGACCTAAATTTTGAGGGAAGCGGAAATTCTTTGTCAAATTTTGACGTCTGGGTCAAAACTGCCCTCAAAATTAACCTAAATTTTGAGGGTAGTGGAAATTGTTTGTCAATTTTTGATGCGTAGGTCAAACCTGCCCTTAAAATTGACCTAAATTTTGAAAGTAGCGGAAATTGTTTGTCAAATTTTGACGTCTAGGTCAAAACTGCCCTCAAAATTGACCTAAATTTTGAGAGTAGCGGGAATTCTTTGTCAAATTTTGACGCCTAGGTCAAAACTGCCCTCAAAATTGACCTATATTAACGTAATGTGAGGCCGTTATTTATCCTCTTTTTGACCTACAGGTCAAAAAATAGGTCAAATTAGACAAGGAGTTTGACGTAATGTGAGGCCGTTATTTATCCTCTTTTTGACCTATAGGTCAAAAAATAGGTCAATTTTGACATAAGTTTTGACGGCCCCTTTGGGATAGGGCGCCCTTACAGAATCTTGAAACAGCGGCGACGGCGATATCTTTTTGTAATATAGGTAGATATTATTATAATAATATTACAATAATTATCATATATTATCCTAATATGAACGTGAAATATGAAATTTTGTAAAAAAAGTGACGGGTGTAAATTTGTAAATGTGACGGGTGCGCACTGAATTGAGCGTGGTACCGATTGCACCGATACCTACAGAAAGTATCTATAAAGAGTGGTAAATTTGAAGATTAAAAGTAAATTCAAATAAATATAAATAATAAATACACGTTCTAGTAACTTTTTTTCAATAAAGAAGCAAATGTTATAACCCACAATTGGCTTAATCCGGAGGTTACATTTATAGTGCCTGTCATATATATTTAATTATGTCTAAAAAATGTCCTTATGTCTAGAAATTTTGTAATACTCATGATTTTACTTTTCAGGGAATAAGTGGAAGTCCATTAGTATCCAGAAAAGAAATAATAGGTATCGTCTCTTGGGGTCCTCCTCGTTGCAGTACAGGAGATCCTGAAGTTTACACTAATGTTTATGAATATTTAAGTTTTATCACACTTGTTAAAAATAACTTAATTTTTTATTAAATAACATCAAAGTTTAAAAAAATATTATTTTAGGTGTACAAAATGTGGTATAGGAAAATGAACATGTACAACTTTCACAATGGAATAATTTCGTTTCAGCTAAAGAAAAACTGGTACATGATCATGTCTGTTTCAAGTATACGATCGTGTACATGAAAATATACTTAATCTTGTACACTTGTGGTCATCGATGCCTTCATCGGAAGAACGTGTTGCATAGATGACTACAAGTATACAGTGATTAAATAAATAATGCTGTGCTATTTAGGTAAAAACTGAATAGAAAACCGTTTTTATATTTCCAAATGATATGTAGTACCATTAAAACCAAGATATATTTAAGAGATGGTGATTTTCTAAAATCACTGATCGAAAGAGCATGTATTGGGAGATCAGGGTGAATACATTTTGCTTACCGGGGATACATTTTTTTAAAACATTCGAATTAAAGATTTCTAAGCAAAGTTAAGAATATTTATGCGTGAGTAACCTAAAGTATAAAAATGCCGATTGTAAGAAGGAAATACATTCCCTATTCTAAATGCCTTTTTACTGGGCAAGTCATAACTGCAACGGAAAGAACTAGAGGAAATTAGGGAGATTGAGCCCGTGAGAAGTCAGCTCAAAAGAGTCTTTTGATATATGCGACAAAAGTACTCATACTTTTTAGTACCTATTTTATGAATGTAAAATATTAATTATAATAAAATAAGTCTTCTTTTTTACTATTGCGTTAATATTTTTTAAGCATTAATATAATTAATTATCAAGAAAATACACAATAATTTTAACCTGTTTTTACTCTCAAGTGTTTTATTCTACTTTTGCTCCAGTTACTATTTTAATTCCGCTGAAGTGGTTAATAATATTAATTATTAACTAGCGACATATACCTAACTCGCTAACGGTCGTTCGGTTGTATTTAAACTTATTTATTTTTATTTATTTGAACTAAGTAAATATTTACTGGACATAAATATTTTAATTTATGGTATCAAATAAATAGATATTTGAACCAAATACAAATTACTTAAGTCAATTAAATGGAATAATTTAATCTAATAAATATTGCTTTAAATCAATTATGAAAATTACTTGCTTCAATAATGGATAGTATTTAATTAAAATAAATATTTATTTGCATCAATAAAATAATTTTCTTAAATAACTAAATATTTATTTGTACACGGAGAAAAATGGAGGGTTAAACTTAGAAGGTTAGGTTTTGAATGTTAGCCTGATTTTCTAAATAATTACTAAGAAAAGGATGAAGATACGTCTATTCTTTTCTTACTAATAGGATTTTCTGTAATGATGGGACATCGACATCGGAAACATTGATGTTTATAACCTCGATGTTTTAATTTCGATATTTTTGATGTATCGAGGTTTTTTCCGATGTTTGATATTGATGTGAATTAAGTGGGGAAAAAATGGATTTTTTTAAATATCTTCTTTTTTGCCTAGCTAACATATTTGATTCTTAAATCAAAAAGAAAAATAATTTTAACTGATTTTGTTTAACTAAAATTAGTTTGTAAATTTAATCCTAATATACAAAAAACATTTATTGCTTTGATTCGAAAATATTTTTTGTTTAAATAATTATGTTTAATATAAACATATTTTCTGTTTTGATTTAAATAAAAATATGTTTAAAAATTTTATGTTTGATTCAAACTTAAAAGTCGATTATAAATAATTGAAAATTTAAAAATAAAAATTTATACAATTGATAAATATTTTTATTTATTAATGGATAATACATTTTTTAGATTATATTTATTTAATTTTGTTTTGCGGCTTTTAGCATAGCCGAAAACATTGTTTTCAAATTATTTTCAACTTTTGTTTGCTTCCTCAGATTCCAATGTTTCCACCCCCATTTGCTTCCACGTTTATTATCTAAAATAGATAATATTATGAATTTATAATGAATTTTCATTTAACTTAATTAAAAAAAATTATTATCAAATAAATTATGCTACTATATATTAGTATGAGGATGATACTTACTTTTTCTCCATTTGGATAAAACATTTTTATAGTGGTGATAATGCCTATGATTTCGGTTATGATTAAAAAAATATTTATTTTGATTAAAATTTTTGTTAACCCATTCAGATGATTTAGAATGACCTGGTCGTACGTCATAAATCTGTCTGCTCCCACCAGTTGTTGATTTTGTTTTCCTTACATTATCATGATGAGATATATGCTTTTCCCTCTTCTCATTATTTTGATCTTTTTCGTTTTTATTAGGACCTTCTTCTCCTGCAACAGTAATTAAATATTATGAATTAAATTAAAATTAAATTAAAATAATTTAAATTTATAGTTGTTAAAGAAATGAAATTTTTAAAATTAATAAATTAAAAAAAATTAAATATAAGAACGTTAACAAATTTAATAAATTATTAATAAATTAATAAGTCTTCAATAATTTATTGTATATAAATTAATTAAATTTTTGTAAAATTTCTTTTTATTTATTTGATTTAAATTTTAAAGAAATACATTATTTATTCTCAAGAAACAAAAATAATAATAGAATATGAATTTAAATCAAATTTTTTTATATGTGATTTTAATTTTGAAAAAATTTAATTATAAACAAATGAATAATATTTGTTAAAATAATTAAACAATATCATAATTGATTTCATGTATTCTTCAAAATCATTTAAAACATTACTAGAAAAACACATTAATTTATGATTTTATTAAAAATTAAAATGAATTGAAAAAAATTAATCATACAAATTTTGTTGTATTTTTAACTTTATTAAAGAAATAATTAAATGAAAAAGAATTATACAAGTAGTTTTTCAGTTCACAAAATACTTTAACACAGACTAAATTTTTGCAGATTGTACATAGCCTTTGATTCGAATAATTAATATTAAGCATATTTAATTGGTAAGAAAATTCTCTATTACCAAACATTTGTCGATAAAGGATGGTTAATATTTCTAGTCTATAAAGAAACAACTTCAATTTATTTATAAAATTTATGCTAATAAGGAGCTTTTACATATAAAACACAGATATTTTTGTATTAACTTTTTTAAATCAATGCTTAAGGAAAAACCCTCTCTGCATTGTGAGTCAATGCAATTACCATTTAAGTTTTCAATTTACTCACGTAGTACTAATGCAACGCTTGGCAACATTGTAATATGCTTCCTCCGGTCTCATTTCGCGTCGTCTGTTATTGCTATTAACCATGTTAGATAATATTTCAGAAAATTCTGATAGTCTTTAAAAAAATACTTTTGGAATTTTAATTTAAATGTTCTGAGCGTTCGATGGTCTCTGCAATCTGTAGGTTATGTGCGACTTACAGTTATCGCCCAAGAGAAACGGCATTGCATCGTTTAAATGACGTGAAATTAGTAAACAATTGCTTTCGAAAGAGTTTTTTTCTGCACACAGGCACTTTTTACAAAATCTGACAACATACAATTGACACAAATGTTTTTAATTGTCTGAATTCAAAAGATTTTGTCAATCCATGCAGAAACGCGGTTGCAGGATTAGAAATACAAAAGTAATGTAATGACAGGCGGCAAGAAGTGTGTTACAGCAATTTTGCTAGTGGAGGGCAGAAGCATGCAGGAAGCGAAAAGGCTCAGCTGTCAAAATAATTCGCATTACATTGCTACGGTAATTCCAATGCTGCAACCGTGTTTCTGCATGGATTAACAAAATCTTTTGAATTCAGATAATTAAAAACATTTGTGACGATTGTAGGTTGTCATATTTTGTAAAAAGTGCCTGTAAACAGAGAAAAATTTGTTAGAAATGAATATTTACCAATTTCACGTCATTTAAACCGGTCAGTGCCGTATTTGTTGGGTGATGACTGTTAGTTGCACTTTATCGAGAAATCTTGATTTGAAAATTGAAAATGATTTTTCTTTTAATGCAGACAGTTTTTGCAAAATCGGAAAAAATACTAGATATCCTGAATATTTTATGTTTCATTTGCCACAAAAAGTAAAAGATTTATTTTCATTTACAACGACAGAAAGTAAAATAATAGAAAAAAGTTAAACAAATGTGCGGTACATAAAATTACCGCCAGAGGGCAGCACCTGATGGGCACATCAAATTTTCTCATTTTACTTCCTGACGTCGTGTATTATTTTGGATTTTCAATTTCTTGTGCATAAAATGACAGAACAAAAATTCATTTAATATCTGATATTTTTTCTCATTTTTAATAACTGTCCAAATAGGGAGAAAAATCCTTTTAGAATTACGTTTCGCGTTCAAGCAGTTAGTTTTAAAAGTCGACCACACTGTATGAAATTGCACAACATCGTTAAATTGAGTTCTTACAAAAAGTTTCATTATCAAATTTATTATTCAAATAGTATATAATAATTCAAATGAAATTTTTTTAAAACTATTTGTAATTTTTAAAATTTATTTCTTTTTATTTAGATTAAATTATTAATTCGGTGTTACTTTTAATTTTTCTAAACTTTCCATAATCAAAAAATTAAATTAATATTAATAATATTTAATAATAATATTGTTAAAATTGTAAAAAATCTATCTATTTAAAATTTTAAATGTTTCGCCTCTCCCGCTTTTTTTACCATAACCTATATCCTATATAAGTGCCTCTAAGGAGCAACGTTGCCAAGTGTCGTGCTTAGTAACTTCTGATTGATAAAAAAGGTGTTTTTTATACAAAATAATTAATTTTTTTTAATTAATTTTTTTAATAATTAATTTTTTTAAGTTCTTTAGCTTTAACTGTAAAAAGTTACATCAATATCTCGCTGTCATTTTTCTCACATTTGAATTTTAAAGATCATGAAAGTGCATTTTCCCATAAGACACAATGTAAAATGTGAAAACATAATAGTACATTATGCAACAAGGTAGGTACGTCCGAGTTTTTCAATATTGTGCGAGGTCATAAACGAGGTTACCTCCCTTGTTCCATACTTTGCTTTATACAACAAAGGCGTATTATGGTTACTCTATGCTACCTGTACCGGTGCATGTTAAAAGTTCTCCCATATAACTCAGCTGGTCAATAAAGTAATCATTATAGCCCTAGGGAGATAAAGGGTACTTTATTGACCTGGGAGCGGTCAATAATATACCCTTTATCTCCCTAGGGCTATAATGGTTACTTTATTGACTGCTGTGTTATAAGGGGGAACTTAGTACGCGCCTGTACAGGTAGATAAAGTGACCATAATACGCCGGAGATGTATAAAATTGTTTATAACTTTTCTTATACATTGTGCAGACCTCTAAAAATTTAACTACATATTTTTAAACCAACATCTACCATCATTCCAAGTTTCATCAAAAAATCGCTGTTAATTCTATTTCCGAGGGTACTTCCTTAATTAAACTATAATTTGTCTACAAGAATCAGTCTTACAGAAAGCTTATTTGCATATATGAAGCAGCAGTTTTTATCCTTTAAAGTATCAAAATCTTATGTCTACTTAAATAGTTTTATATAATCTTCAAACTGAAATAAAAGAAAACTCGTGATTTGAACGTGACGATATAATATTTTATATTATTTTTACTTAAAAACGAAATAAAACAAATTCGTTCGTAGCTTATAGGTAAATAATTTGCACTCAATACCATGCTACAAATTGGCGTCCATATATGTCTTTTAATACGCAAGAGACTTTAACACTAATTAAATTTTTATACATTAAACACAGACATTGATCTGTATCAT